ATAGGTTGAGACTGGCAATCCTGTCTTCGTATGGTTTATTTTGCAATCCAATTACCAGCTTCGTGGCTCGATGATATATTCGCTGTAGAAGAATTATGTCTTTTTGAAGCCATGGTGACCAAGCTTGTATAGCGTATTCCATGGTTGGTCGGATGTAGGTATTGATTACTCGGGGCAGTGCCAGTCGAGTGAAACGACCAAAAATCCGTTTTAGGAGCGACAGGACTTGTGAGGTCCTCTTGTAGACGGCTGTGCATTGCAAGGAGTTTTTTAAACAGCTGCTGACCCACACGCCAAGATCTTTTTCTTCACTAGTCCAAGAAAGTGGTTGTGGACCCAACGTATAGTTATATGCAAAGGGCTTCCCTACACGGAGCATTTTACATTTTTGGAGGTTAAACGGTAGTCTGTTTTTCAGTGACCAATCATAAAGTGTATCGAGATCTTTTTGTAATCGGTGACTGTCTTCAATGGTGCGTATGCTTGACCATATCTTGATATCGTCTGCGAATAAAGTGATTTTACTGCTCACGAGCTCAGGTATATCGTTTACGTATAATAAAAATAAAGTAGGCCCAAGAACGGAGCCTTGGGGTACTCCACTTGTAGCTGCAATTGGCTTGGACAGAGCGCCGTCAACACATACACGCGCGTCTCGGTCAGCCAAATAGATTTCAAGCCAAGCCAGCAGCTTTCCCGTAATACCATAATGCTCGAGTTTTTGCAACAATATGTTATGGTTCACGCGATCAAATGCCTTGGAGATGTCTAGATAGCATGCGTGAACGGGATTTCCATTGTCCACAGCTTGCGTCCAGTCGTCTAAGGTAATGAGGAGATTGGACAGACAGGATCTGTTTTTTCTGAAACCATGCTGGGCAGCCGAAAGCAATCCGTTTTCCTCTAAGTGTTTAATGATTTTGTTTGCCACCAGTCGCTCAAGCACTTTGGAGATCACCGGCAACAGAGTCACCGGCCGGTAGTTTGACACGACCGAACGATTACCTCCTTTGTATATGGGAGTGATAACGCCCTTCTTCCAGTCGTTGGGAACCACACCGTTATTTAGGGACGAATTGAATAACTCAGCGAGAGGTGTGCATAGGGAATGAGCACACTGCTTGAGGATAAATGGTGTTATCTGATCGGCACCGGGAGATTTTCTGTGATTTAGTTCAAGTAACGTTCGGAGTACACATTCTGGAGTCACAATTACTTCATGTAGGGAGGTGGGCGGTGAGGGAGACATAAACGACATCCGGCTTATATATTCCTTCTGACAGTAAACAGTGGAATAGAACTCCGCCAGTTCTTCAGCTGCAGCTGACGCAGTGGCCGTCAGTCCATTAGGGGTATGCAGAGGTGAAATACCCGGTTTCACAGACGCCTTATTATTAATGATCCAATAGAGAAGCTTCGGATTTTTTTCCATTTTCTCTAAAAGCATTAGCTGGTAATCCTTTTTGTCGCTCGCGACCAGCGTGTTGACTTTATTTCTTAGTAACCGATATTTTTCCCATGTTGTTGTTGTTCGGTGACGTCGGTATTCAGCCCAGGCTGCATTTCGCTCCAGAATCCATTTTCGGGTTCTGCTTCGTAACTTAAAATCGAATCCCATCTGAGTATTCTTTGGAACGAAGTGGGAATGCAAACGTATTTTATTGACCAAGTTCCCCATGAAGCTAGACCATTGCTGGTGGACGTCTGGACCTTCTGAATACCAGTCCGTACAATGACTCAGGGTATTCGACAGTGCTTTCGTGTTCACTTTCCTGATCATTTTAAGCTCATCATTAGGTCTCACCGCCGAACAAACATAATCAAAAATGAGAACGACGTGATCACTCGATCCTAATGGACTTTCATATGCGATGTTTTCCACAACGTTCTCTTCGCTTGTTATGATGAGGTCCAGAATGGAAGGTATATCTGATCCTCTATACCGCGTGTTGCATGATATATGATTGTGAAAGTCAAGATCATGTAACGTCTCCTGGAAGGCACAATCGAGGGAATTTATCGGATGTTGTTGAGTCCGTAGCAAGTTTGGGAGATTGAAATCACCCATAATTAGTATCTTACTTTTATACCGGGAAGCCACGAGGCGCAGCTTCTCCATTATGGTGTAATTGTGCAGTTCCTCCGCTGAAGGTGGTCGATAGATCACACCAACAACACAGTCGTTTCCTGCTACCGTCTTTAACGAGCACCACAAGGTATCCGATAGTATCAAATCTTCATCAGTTAGCTCTTTGCACAATAGTTGCCTGCTATGGTAAATAGCTACACCACCTCCCCGAGAAATGCGATCCCGACGAAGAAGCGTCATTCCAGGGATGGCAAGTTCACTATCCGATAAGTGTGGCTGGAACCAAGTCTCGCTGATAGCAATCAAGTTTGGCAAATGCTTTTCACACAATTCAGATAATTCTGGAATCTTGTTAGTCAAGCATTGCGCGTTCGTGTATAAACATTTAATGGTGTTTATTGACAGCAGTGTTGGGCAGTACGCAAGATAATGTGCAGGTTGGGCGGTTATAATTGTGCCGACCCTGGCAGAGTCGGCAGCTGGTCGTTTTTTGAAGTTTCACCTACGGCTTCATCTTCATTAACCTTGGTCTCTTCTGTGGGTATATTGTTCCGCATGGATGTGCTTATCCTTAACTCCCTAGGGAGTAAGTTCCTGTGACGTTGCCATTGTGTTTGGATTAAGTTTAGCATATCACCACGAAGTAGTGTGAGTTTCAGGGGCCTCGGGCCGGTACCCAAATATTTTGGTGATTTCGGAATCCGATAAGTATCAACCACGGCCACGTTTTCAATTTCAAGTGTACTGCATAGAAATTGCCACTGCATGTAGTCGTGTGTGTTTTGCGCTATTTTATCTGACGTTTTGTTGGGTTCCGGAACACCCAAGATAATCAAACTGCGGTCATTTGTATGTTTGTTGGTTGAGTTTGTAGGATGATGTGTATTTTTGCGCGATCTTTCCGACCACGGTATATCAGCGAAAATCCTTTCGCCATTGTCGGCTTCCCCCCTAAGTTGGAATGCTGATAATAGAATGCTCTCCAGGTCTTTCTCGGTATTAACGGTAACTCTGGCTTACCGTTATGTGGCGAATTCGGTGGTCGACTTAATCGTGTTAGGGAAACTGGTTCGATAGGTTTTAACTTCATTTTAGCGCAAAGTTTGAACCACTCCTCCAGTTCGCGCTTGTGCCTCGCTTGTAATGACGTATCGCAAGGTTCTGTGACATTAGCGCAAATAACACTAAGTCCCGATGATGCTTTCCGGTTATTACTGAGCGACATACTTTTGGATTCAATGGCCTTTTTTGACGTTACTACATCAGTTTGTAACAGAGGTATGGAGTTCTTTGTTAATTCAACATGCTCCACTCCCCCCACCGGCCCAGACTCACATGGTTGTAACAGCTCTGTGATATGTTTTAATTGGTTCTCTAATGAGCCCAGTCTAATCTCCAATAGGTCATTCCTTTTGCTGATGTCATTTGTGTTCGCTTCATTTGGCTGCCGTTATTCAAGATGTTATCTCGACAAGTGACACGTAGATAACATACTGAAGGGTGACTGGCATCATTAACCATCTGCACCGTTGCATCAGTTAATATTCTATCACAACGGGCATGCCCATGCAGTTTACAAAAACAACATTGAAGTGAGGGCGTATTGAAACTCACCGGGTCAGAACAGGTCACACATGGGTCGTATTGAATTTTTTTTGTTATCGTGCGCGCTGTCGACGCTTTCGTTAATGTTGATGCTATAGAACGGGTGACGCGTTTGGACATCTTTGGACTTGTGTGTAGGGCAGGTTAGCTAGCGAAATTGCGAGCGTGTGGCGTGTATGTGCGGTTTTACGTTTACACTCGCACTAGCGTGTGCGTTAGCCGGTCAGCAGAAGTTGTGAACGCAGTCAACTCGGAAGGCCAGTGATTTATCGATCCGCAATGAAGAGGGATACAGTAGTGAAACTTGTGCGGACAGATTTCTCGATAGCGCCCGTAAATGTTCACCGATCTTTGCAGAACTGGTTTCAAAGGATAGAACTCGTCGCGGGCTACCGTTACGTGTAGGCAACTTGGAGTATCTTCGAAGATTCCGGGTAGTTGTGCGCGTGTATGTGGAATCCGTGACGTGAGCCAGATCCCAATATCCGTAGCTCCTCAACTGCGACTGACAGGATTTCAGAAGTTATACAGATCAGTTTAGCTTGCGGAGAGCAAGCGATTGATATGCAGATCAACGGTGTAGGATAGAATATATCCAAGAAAACTGTTCCAAAAAATCGGAGCGCCAGAAAATGCAGCCGCACGGTAGTGTTGGCGTGTGTAGGTTGACTTGCGAATTAGAGCGGGTGGTAGTCGCTCGGAAGTTTTGACTATATCGTTTCATTCTACAGATGCTTCAATTACTATATTTTTTGCCCAGAAAATTTCGGTGGAGTTTGACATTTCATTTGGGCAAGTCTTCAAGTGCATTTATATGATGCTATTTCCTAAACTCTCGAACCCAATTTAAAGCACTATTAGACATTTATTTATGCGAATCCTCGCGCTAGCGAGCATTCTGCCCCGCGCTGAGAACATAAAGAGCAGTGCTACACCCTTTTTTCACTTGTGCCTTTCAGGTGAACGACAGCCACTGACCGACAAGAACAAAACCGACCCGGGAAACTTGGGCAAAAGCCTCGATCCTGTGTATCAATCCGTGAATCCGTGAATCATTTGGGCAAGTCTTCAAGTGCATTTATATGATGCTATTTCCCTGAACTCTCACGATCACTGAATTCAGCTGAACTCCTCAAACCATATCAAAATAGACTTGCGCCCCATCCGTGATGTCCTACAAGATTTTCCGATCTGGATCGTAACATAAAGCACAAATCCCTCAAACCAACAAGAAACTCCAGTGAGTTATTTTAGGTGTTAGTATTTCATTTCAAGGTCGCCTGGCTGCGCGCGCCGTACGGTCAGGATGACGGTGACGTATAACACGAGAAATCCTGGTATGTGCTGGAAGATCCCAGTTAATTGTTTTCAGCGGTTAAACGATTGTTGAAAGAAGCGCAAGAACTTGCGGAGCCCACCGAGCTCTATCATGCACAACCACTCGAGGCAAGTTTTTGAGCTTTCTGTGGCTGATTGTTTCAGGACAACCTTTTCGAATGGCATTTCACAATTCGGGGACCCGAAGACACGGAGTTCTCCGGTGGCGTGTACCACGGACGGATACTTCTGCCCTCGGAATACCCAATGAAGCCTCCAAATATAGTATTGCTAACGGTAGGTGTCACTTTACACATGTATCTATAAAGCAGTATATGATGTGACGGTTTATCACTATAATTTTTTGTATGCCACACTGGTCCATACTCAGTGAATATCACTATTACCACAACTTTTCGGTTCTTCAGTTTTGTGACCTATGAGGAGTTCATGAAAGGCTCCGCGGGATTTTAATAATACGTAGAACCTTAATTCGGTCTGTATGCACTACAACAGTGTTTTTAAGTGTTTTTTCCAGTCGCTCTCCGTCTTCGCTTAAGATGCAAAGCTCTTTTAAATATAATCCCCGGCGACTTACACGGTCTCTACATGCACGCAATGGGAGTGTTAATACTCCCATTGATTTGTGTCAACAATTGTTGACGCAGGTGGAACGTAGCAGGCAGTCAGGGCCAGGGCACGGTGACGCCTGTATAGAGATACTTCTAGGGATTCGTATCCGTAGTTTACGTTCTCTTAAATGCCGATATTTTGCAATGGGAGTTAGCTAACGGAAGTGCTATTCGAATTGTTAGCTCAACCCTCCTAGCGTTCTGCTCTGCTGGACATCAGAGAGTCATTTCTGTCCCTGGTGATTTCTCCGACAAGGGGCTTCCAAAGGCTAGTCGAAAGAATCAATTGGGACACCCTGCGAGCTTTTCTTGCATTTTTCTCATCCCTACTTGCCTACCATCATCCGGTAGCTACAATGGAGATGGGCCACGCGTTCTCACCGTCACCCAGATATCCTCTCACGTGGTCACTTAACTTCTCCGTGCATTGTACACCAGCCGTCACGCTACGCCATTTGGGATCCGTTTCCACCTCGCCGCAGAAACGACCTGGATGACGGTCATTCATCTCACCACGTAGACCCATCTCACGGCGCGAGTAAGACCGCGCTCAATTCAAGGAATACAAAACAGTTGTTCTGGGCCCGACCGGTCACACTTCTCATGTCCAAAACATCCTATCATGGGTGTTTCCCTCATTACATCCATAGATTGCTGTTACACTCACTCCGAAAAAACCCCGCCCTTCACGAAGGGACTGAACATTATCGTGATGCGATGGTATCCCCACATTTGTGACTCAGTGAACTATACTACGGAGTGGGTGTCCATGTGATACTGAGTATCATATGCCAGGTTTGGCGGGTGAGAAGTCTGGCCCACGAATTCTCCTGACCCTTAAGTTTTTGGGTTAGAGCAGGTGTGACGACTTGTCTTGTAAAGATAATAATACACTTACATTTTTGGCCAAACAGGCTTTCGATTTAAAGGACTTTAGTTGGCCTTCTATCTAGATCTAGCCCCCCTGGCAGTATCTCACCTCAAATAAAGCCATGAATTGCACACTTACAAATAATTTCTTGCCACATCGGCCTTCGCGTGATGCCATCGGCCTGGTTGTCTTACTTGCTGCATACCACAGGACGGTTAAGCCAAAACAAGCTACTGCTGGTGCATCCCTTCTTTCTATTTCACATACTTTCCCTCCTCTCACCACTCCATTAGCAAATCTACTTTTGTAGGCCCGTCAGTTAGACTGATGACTCCGTTCGTCCTGCATCGGTTTTGTGTGCAACATCTGCTCCTTACATGGCGCCGACATCCTCAGATATCTGGAAATCAATCTTCAGGCCTTGACGCCCAGTCTATCTGGCTACTTTCAGTGTTCACACAATAAAGCAAGCAGGACTACATGCTGCTTTTGCTCTCACACTGGGCTCGCTTGGCATTGATGTGTGCTATGTATCATCATCATCATCGACAGCATAACATCAGTATCCATCAGCGATGTTTCCCTGCCGTACAGCCATGATTTATTTGAAAGCCTTATTGTAAAGAAAAGAATAAAGGTGGACGGGAAAGAGACATATTGTTAGCTCACCACAGCCAATACAAGGTGCCTACACCCCCAGATATTCACTGAGGCAATCTAGATAGAAACTAACAGCAAGAACGCCAGTGACGTCGGTTGGCAGACATATCTTCTAGTGTCTCCAACTAGGCGCAACGGGGATCACGCCTCCCCATCCTGGAAGGCGAGTGGCACCGACAGCACCCAAGCGTTTCGTGATATCCTTCATACTCCTCTGTCGAGTCAAGAGTTGGCCACCTCTCTGTTTCCGCCACTCTGAGTTGGGCTTGGAAGACAGCGCTCTTCGGCAAACGATGGTTCGGCATACGAAACACATGTCCCAACCAACGCAGTTTCTGGTGCCTGACACATTCCTCAATGGAAGTACCTGTTGCGCAACCGCAAATGAGCTTTCTAATGGTTTCCTTACGGATTCCCCGGCACCAATCCACAAGAGCTATGGTTCCGAGACAACGGTTGTCGAACACCTGAAGACGTCCCAGTTCCGCTACTGGGATAGGCCAAGTCTCACAGCCATATAACAAAACAGCACATATTATAGCTTGATACACACGTCCCTTGAGATTCAGGGGTAAACCACTCTGATGCCATAGGTGTCTCAAATAAGCAACTACCTCAAATAGACATGAATCAGAGCCCAGAATTCAAGATGCAAGCATAATGGTTGAGCTAACCGCCCCATCACACTTCACTCGCTTCCGACTGTGCAGCATGGCGATCCGTAGACTGCTGCGGCAGGATGTACAGAGATTGGTATCGTCCGGGCGAAAGAGTCTTTTCTTGACTAGATACCTGTTGATATTCACCTTTGTACGGTTCGTTTGACAACCTTTGTGAAGGAGCCTCACAAACAGGAAGTTAATCGCTGTCTACTTGCCCTGTCTGCTTACGCTCCTACGGACTGTACTTCTGGCACCCTCAAAGACAAGTATGATGCCTGAAGTGCCCTCTTATGGTGAGCTGGAAGCTCAGACATCGCGGTGTTTGCCGGAGACCTGAATGTATGCTGCAAGTGAATGGGTTTAGTGCATCTAAGACCCAATTAGTTGGTCAACATGGATCGAACTCGGTACATACAAGCAATGGCGAACGATTGCTCCAGCTATGTGTTGGCAAAAGGCTGTTGCTATGCAGTACTAACTTCAGAAATAACCGAAGTCGGCTTGGCTGAATGTTGTCCTCCAACAACGTGGCAGGTATGAACTAAAGTTGATCACTTCGACATGGGTTACCAGTGGCGTGGCTTAATAACTGAGTGTCACTCGTTTCCGACCACGCGCTCGTGTGAAACACTTCGCCACTCGTGTTCCAGGACAGCCTGAGCTGCAGACAAATAGCTTGGAAACGGAGAAACTGGCAGATCTGGATGCTAGGTAAATTTACCAGAGTTATCTTCCGGAGTCTTCCAACTGCTCAACCGTCAGACGTGATCGAGGTCCCCACCTCTTTGCACAGTTTGCCCGTTGCACGATGCTACTAGGCCCGCTCAAGTACTGGACATCGGACCGAACAGTGGTGCTGCTTAAATCTGGGTCAAGTGTCTCAGCCGGTCCTGGACATAATTTAGCCCGACGAATTATCAGACGTCAAGTGAAAGTGAGCGTGCGCGCCCATCGTGAAGCCCGGTGGGCACAGAAGGTCAAGGAAATAGAAGGGGTCCAAAAAGTCAAAGATTAGAGTCCAGCACTAAGCCCATTCTCCATCCACTTCTCTTCTTTTCTTCACCACGTATTCACACCTCGATGAAATGTGGGTGACACTGCTTCCAGCTACCAATTATGGTGGTCTATGACTTGAAAGCCTCCTTTGATTCTATGGACCGTTATGTACTTTCGCGGTGTCTATGTAGTAAAGGTGTCCTCCGCAAATTCCTGGTCGTTTTTGAGGCGCGGTATGTCAGCTCCCGCAGATGCGTGAAGGTCTACGGGAAGCTCTCCCCTGAGTTTATTGCGTCAATTGAGGTTAGGCGAGGTTATCCTCTTTCACCTTTCATCTTCTACTTCTCCACTGATATGATCATGGATGACTTACTCGCCGCCTCTAATGCTTCTGGGGTCCAAATGGCCCCAGGGCGTTCGCTTGCAGATGTGTGGTACGCGGATGACACGATTCTCGAATGGACGCCATTATAATGCAGTTAATATTACGATGGACAGATGAGTCAGCCTCACGGTCTGGTGTTCTCTGCAACGCTAAGTAGGCCCCAACATGAACTTTTTTCTCGCGATTGAGATAGATACATTTGTCTGCCTAGGTAGCTGTATCAGTCTTGGTGGTCTAGCTACAGAATGGAAAGACAAGAGCGGCTTCATCCCCTGTGACGCAGGCGTGCCATCAGCTTGTCTGTCAAGGATCTAGTTTACAATGCTGCGGTGCTCTCCATATTGCTAATCGGATCACAACTTCCAGGGTTGTAACATAGGCATCTCCGGAACATTTCCCAAATCTGGTGGGTACGTTGATTGGTTTTCGGGAGAAACTGATGGTCACACTCCATAGATTGTGCACATGCTCCTCACACCAGTCAGCCTAATCGCTTGGAGAACCATTTTTACGCAACCACCAGTTATGGGAGATCAAGCAGTGAATTGGCAGCGAAGTATGAACGCTACCATCAGCAAACACCGCTACACTAGTCACTACCGTCAATCTAGATGGGTATCCCCGAGACGGTACACACCAGTGGTTCGAGATATTGTCAGACAAGCATGGTACGCCTGTATTACAAGCCAACAGTGGCTGAAAGAAACAACCGGCGCCTTGCTCAGACAATACCGTGCCACTTATACCAACGCGCTTACTGTTGAGCCTACCCGCGGGGCACAAACATCCCCCAACTGTAGGAGAGCTTGATCAAATGATTCTTTTCAGATACTGCCCAATCTAAACTGAGAACCTTCTCAAAATGCTGCAAATTACAGTCTTGAAGCCAGTCTTGGCTGACCAGTTGCCAACATGATTCGTGTGCTGCAGTCCGGTGTCGTCTGTGCAGCACGGATCTTGCAAGTACAGGTTCTGTGTAACGAACCTGTTACCAGTCAAAGACGCATGAAGTAAAGACTGACGAAGGGTTTCAGACTGATATTAATTCTCTTTGACTACGTACAACTGGACGTCCTATTGCAAAAACTGGCTGCATATGACATACACGGTTCCGTCTCACAATGGTCACAGTGCCGTTAACAACTTACCTGTCTCTATCCCCTTGCCAACTGTTTGCCGACCATCTGAAATAGACCAAAAGCCACCACATGGAAGTGGTGATTAGAATTGTGTGCTCAGTGGTCCTGAGGGACCCACTGGTTGGAACTTCATTCCCCAAGGTTTAACCACGTTGAATAGGTCTGTGAATTTGGGTGGGGTAGAATGCTGTAAGTGTATCATTTGGCTTTCAGTGGAACACATGCTGCCTCAAACGGTGCGCGAAGAATGTGGGATTGGGCTCACCCGAGATGCGTGAGCCTAGAGTATCAGGGGGGCAATCAATACGAGTTCCGTGGACGAGCAGGCCATTTCCTCTTTTGAGTGCTGAGTAATCCGAGGAGGATAATTGACGACTGTTCCAAACATCATGTTCTAATGGATGACATCACGATGGAATGTTCCAGTTGACGGTGAAACCCTTCTATGAAGCTATTAACAGTGGAGCTTATAAAATAGTCGTTAACTAGTGACGCGGTTTGCCGTGGGAGAATAAACTGGGATCCACTATCGGTGTTAACGTTTGAGGTAGTTTCAAAGAATAAGACTCAGGACTCCAGTGTGGTTGCAAAACTACTGGTCGAACGTAAGGGTAGTTACATGTACATGTCTAAAATCGAAATAAGAAAGTGCAAAATGTCCTGGAGAACTATGCGTGTGTTTCTAACCTGACAGATTTTTACCATGCTTCCACGCTTCCACCACTACGCTCCCCAATAACGCACTGATGATGTCACCTCGATTGGTGATGAAACGTTTGCAATCAAGTTGCCCAGCTCAGCGAACAAGCCAACGATCATTTACGCTACCTGAGCTACCAACACTTTCCTCCTTAGAAAACTTTATACATGTTTACGAAATCAGATACAGCCGGGGTTTCCTGTTGCAATTATCAGTAAAAAATTCGCGGTCAGGAAATCAGAATTAGCTCTTAGAACACAAGTGAGCAAGTTCATCCTAACCACGCTGTGCGGAGGCGAAAACAATGATGCAGAAAAGGAAACGCTTAGTATTAATGAGAGTGCGGGGTGGCATTTGCAATGTTAATGGGTAATCAATAAATCGAATATCCATTGTGACCTTCTCGATGAGTGAAACTTTCTAGTAGAGCAGTTATCAAGTTGAGAGTTGAAAACAAAAGCAAAAGACTATGCAGCAAATGACCTACCTTCTAAAAGGTACCAAAAACGTCCAAAAACTAACTAGGTGGCTACCAGCCCATGACAAAATTACTTCATGTTTGTACCGGTTGTGTATTTCTGGAAGATTTGCTGGAGAACGCCACCAACGGCAGTTGATGATGAGTAGCCAAAACCATCGTAACACAACTGTTGCGTGAATAGTAGTATCTCTTCTAGCCTGTAGTACTGTCCACGGTGTCAACCTATCGGTGTGGTAGCCAGAATCAACCTGCAATTCTTACTTTTTTTAAGCTGCTATTGGTAATCCTGCTTGGAAGCCGTTTATACGTCAGTTACTGGAGCTAATATGGGGGCAAGTGACCATCAGAATTGATTCCATATATGTCCTCTTATCTGTCCTTGTATGGCCAGAGTCGACATTAGATGCCATACTTAGAGATTGGTGTTGGGACCCCCTAAATCTGAGGCGGAATATTGATCGTTAAAGTGTTCCTGATTCCACAGGTTCCTGTCACTAAACGTTGTACATTTCAACTTATCATATTTATAATGTATGAAGTAATCGATTTCAAGATTCTTATGAATATTTTGGGGATGTAAATGTGGTCAACAGAAGCTGTACAGCCCAGCAGGTAACCCGGCAAGTTGCTTTGGAGCAACGAGCAAAAGTGTTGATAAAAGTCAGGGAAATGTGTTAGAACTTGCACGATATTTATGCTAGATCTTCCAAAGACTATCAGTCTATTCATGTAGTCATCTGTAGTCATCAAGGTACACAATTTCCCTGGGTTCTTCTGTGATCCTGAATAATATACACAACCCCCGAAGTGAGTGCACTTCTTAGGAGAGGCCAATGCTTCTCTCCCAATGGTGGTTTTTTTAGGGTGAATTTCTGTGCCTTAGGCTGTTACCCGATGTCACCGAATATTTATGATCCTAGAATTTTTACATATATAGTTGTTCCTCTCCCTAAGGTACCTCGAAGGGTCATTCCCCTTGCACGTACAGTTTCATTACTTCCCTGCACGTCTAGAAGGTAGCTAATGTTTTTGCTCCTATTGTGTTGTTGTAGCCAAACGGGAGATTTGAAACGCACAGGAAAATTTGCCTTAGCATATCCGGCTACCATCCGGAATCATGGCGCCCTTCCTGGTCTATCCGTACGGCGCTTCTAGCTATAATTGGATTCATGCCAACCCATGGTGCCGGCGCAATCGGTTCACTCGATTTGCCCGCTGATGAGCGGAAAGCCCTGGCTCGATCGTAAGCAGTATCCTGCAGATTTTTTCGACTGCTTATTTTTTACGTTGAGACTGTCTGCATTGTCGGTAGCTAAAACGAAATTAATTAAGTAGTAAATGTCGTAGTTTACTGGTGCATTTCCAGTGGATAATCATAGTTATCATATCTATTTTCACGCTACCTGCATAACCCAGTAATCATTGATGTTTCTAGGGGGATGTATATCACCACAACCGTCTTTCAAGTCCATTAACGTCCACTGATGAGTGATGCCTACGTAAGTAGAACGGGACAGCGTACCGTTGTGTATACGAGGACACATGGACATATCAGGTGCACCGAAACCACCCAAAACCAACCAGATTATATCATCCTACACTAAGTGCCTTGTGGTTCGCCTTCTGATTAACAGGAAGCATTGCACTTTCTGTAGTATGCAGCACGGAAAATGGTAGTGTTCTCAAATTTGCTCAGGTGTTTAATATTCACAAGTGATGTTTGTGTAGGCTGAAACAGCTTAGGGTTTTCTTGGTGTTACCACGATGAACTACATAGCTTTTGACGCGATAATTTTTTACTTACCTAGTACTCGTTTGATGAGATACATACGTAAAAGGGCCCAAAACTACCTCTGCCATGCTACCTTTTTCAAGCTCATTATATGAAAGACTGTTCACAACTATCAGTCCACTTAACGTCAACTTACAATAGTAGAAGCTTAGGACCCGGGTGACATACTGTTAAATGAGGGATAGTTCACCTTAACTTTTTTGCCCCGACCTAAAGCTGCAACCTTGATGTGGTGGTCGGGCTGGAGTGCTGCAATGATCCCGCGTGCCTCGAACTTCGTTCCACAAAGTACAACCATGCCGGGAAGGCCAAAGGGGAGCGATCAGACCAAATGCAACGATACCTCTTACTACGAGTAATCGTGCTACGAAGCGGTCTGGGGGTAAAGTAAAGTCGTACTGTCCTCTGCGACAGGAGTGTGAAGGCAGCAAGGTGTTTCCCCCAGGCGACCAGCATGTCAATATTTATGGAAGCAGCGATCCTGCCTTCCCCCGAGGAAGGATGAGTTATAAAAGCCCGGCCCTAAAAAATGCAGACTCCGATCGCCCAACGGTTGACCGTGACCGCCGGCTCATTATCCAATACGGTCGAAATACTTCTAAAACAAAAGGGTCCGGTGCTGCTCAAAAGGCACCTGCTATGCGCAGCCGCATCAGGAATGAGAAAATAGTGCCTTATTTCCTGCGCCCTTGGGTTAGGCCAATCATCTTTCGGCCGAGCAGATCAGACTATTGGGTTATCGGCTCCATGCAGCGTACCCAAATAAAACCCTTCATCGTCCCACTGCCTTGTGGGTCAGACTTTTGAGTCAAAGGTTCAAGGTTGGGTACCTCAGTCAAGCCCCCTTCCTCGGCTTGGGCAACTGGGAAGTATCATTTGCCGGTGCAGTTCGGTGTCCACCGATGTCCGTCCCCAACCCCGTCCCACCACACAAACA